CTTGTAGACCAATGAACTAGTCAAAACTAGCTGGCCAATTTGTTCACTTTTTTCACTTAGCAGCATGTCTGAGCACCTTTCAGGGGCCAGGTCATTTGAGAGGTCTCTGGATTGACACTAACTGGCTGCCCTCTCTGAGTTGTGCTGCCCTTACCCTCTGAATTCTCCCAACCATTTGGAGCTAAGTGTCACCAATGGTACCGGCTGGCTGCACAGAAACACCATTAAAATGAAAAAACAAGCTCACAGGGCTGGCCCCATGGCCGAGTGGTTAAGTCCGCGCACTCCACTTCGGCAGCCCAGTGTTTGCCAGTTCAGATCCTGGGTGCGGACATGGCACCGCTCATCAGGCCACGTTGAGGCGGCGTCCCACATAGCACACCCAGAAGGACCCACAACTAAAAATACACAAATATATACTGGGGGGCTTTGGAAGAAGAGAAAAAAAAGAAGAAGATTGGCAACAGATGTTAGCTCAAGTGTCAATCTTTAAAAAGAACAAAAATAAAACAAGCTCACTCAAGAAAGAGAACAAGCTCATTAGAGAATCTACAGGACAAAAATAATGACTTCTTCACATGCTTGCCAAGGCACCAAGATTCTTCTACTACATGCACATGGGAAAATACTGAACTGAGGGCCAACTGTAGCATTAAAATCATGCTATCTATGCTTTCTCAAGGATTCAGAAGAGAATAACAAAAGGCTGAGAAGAGACAAACGAGGTTCTTCTCTCATATCCAGAAAGATTACAGGACACTTTTTTCTCATTGTCTGGATCAGGAGAACTTCCATGATTTCTTTTAAAAGGTTATTCCTCTGCAGCAGCTCTTATTGCCAGAAAATTTTTCTTAATTTTCACCTTAGCATTATGAACGTGTACACCTTTAAACATCAAAGAAAAAGGCTGTGGGGGAAGCCCTGTTTGAGAACGAAGTGGGGGCTGGCCCGTGGCACAGCAGTGAAGTTCGCACATTCCGCTTCTCGGTGGCCCGGGGTTCGTGGGTTCGGATCCCAGGTGCAGACATGGCACCGCTTGGCACGCCATGCTGTGGTAGGCGTCCCACATAGAAAGTAGAAGAATATGGGGACAGATGTTAGCTCAGGGCCAGTCTTTCTCAGCAAAAAGAGGAGGACTGGCAGTAGTTAGCTCAGGGCTAATCTTCCTCCAAAAAAAAAAAAAAGAGAGAGAGAGAACGAAGTGTACTACACATGACCCAACTCTTCTATGAGTCTTCATTCTGGATACAGCAGCATTCCTGGTCTTAATCTTTGGAGTTACACACCAGCTTCCTATCTGTGCCATCTCTCCTCTTCCTCAAGATATGAAGAGTTTCAGATCATTAAAGAAAGCTTAGAGCCTGGAATATATAATCTTTTACTCTCTAGCACTCTGCATTTGGTAGGGTTTAAGTAGTGTTAAATTTGCGACATATGTTTACACAATGAGAACGAAGGATTCTGAGAAATGATCCTGTTTAAAAACACATCAGAAACCAACTTCCAGTTTAGATGCCATGAACAGAGCATATCAAGCAGCAGAGGGAGGTGGGTAGGAATTGGGAGATTCTTTAATTCCTTGAACATTATGGAAAGGCCATATCCCAACTCTGAATGATATGCAGAAACATAAACAACACTGAAGGCAAGGGAGCCACTGAAGACACTGTCCTACAGATATGATGTCAGAACTGAAAGCCAGTCCTACATGGGAACTGTGCGAGAGTATTCTGGGAAATGAGGTAGGTGGGTTTTTCTTCCCAGAGCTACAAAAAGACTAGGATGAGAAGAATTTGATAACAGACATAAACACAGAAATGATAAGGCAGAATATAGCCATGACTACACTGCTCCTTTCCCTGGCTTGCGGGCCCTACCTGCTTCCTAAGTTGTACAACAAAATTAAATATAAGGCACTTTTCAGAAACTCCTCAGGCCAGCAAGATAGCAACGGAAGTGGGCACTTCAAACCAGATGTTACTTTTTCAGGTCTCCAAATTTCCAATAACAACAACTTGCTGATCATTCATGATTTGCCCCCAACACTCCTCATATTTTCCTTAAAAGATGTGGTGTTGACGGTGAAAAGTGGGGTTGGTAGAAGATGGCAGGCGGTAGGCTTGTCAGGAAGGCAGACTATTGGGAGACTACAATAGGACTTAGGGTAGCGGGCACAGCATCATGGTGAGGAAATAGGATAACTCACAGGGTGGGGGGCTGGCAATAAAAAAGAGCCTCATCTTTGGGAACTCAGGACTCTACCTGTGTATCACCAGGTATGCAGACGAGCAGAGAACTTCACACATGAAACTATTCCCAGGCCTCAACATTCTCTTTCAGAATCTAAGAGTTTGCTACCTACTTTTTTCACTAGAAAAGCTGAAAACCAAGACTGTGTCCACAGCTGACAGTGGCTCTAGGTATGAGGGAAGATACAATATTCTCACAGAAGCGGCATTTCTATTCCTACTTTTCTCACTTCACAGATACAGAGAACAACCCAAAGTATACAGTCAGATATTCAGAACATTTTAGAACCTGGGCTGCTGACAGAACAGGAGCATTGCTTCAAATTCCATGCCTAGATTTTCAAGAAGTTTGCAACAGACTTCTATCTGTGTCTGTCTGTCTGTCATTTTCCGTCACGCTCTCTCTCACACATACATCACACTTTACAACTGGCTGTCTTTATTCATTCATTCAGTGCCAGACACTGGGGACAGAAATATAAATAAGATACTTTCTCAAGGAGTTCACAGTCTATTTGGAGAAACAAACATAGAAGCAGATAACTGCAGGAACTGAAGCATCGCTTGTCTTAACATGGAATACCACAAGAAATGCTGGCAAGCAGACTATACAAGAGAAATCCTATTAAACAGTATCTCCAGTAGCCCCTGGTATCAAACAAAAGGCAAGAAGAAGAATGCAGGGCATTTACCCTCTACAGGGCTTTTAGATCCTGAACGTATTACAGATCCTGAGAAGCTGCATTACGCTCTCAGAACTAGTACTATCATTACAGTCAGCACCCCATGGATCATGCTCTTTATTTTCTGTATGGGTAAATTTTAGCTACTCAAATAAACTGTTAAACCATGCCCTATATTTCTTTAATCTCTATAGCATCTAGGACTACCCTGGGCACAATGTAGATGCTAAACATGTGATGTCCTTCGTGAAAGGGACAAGGTAACTTGTTCCTCTACAAAGGTTTGTAGATTGGCAGATCTGGAGGGTTTGTAAGGCACAGCATTGCCCTACCCCATCACTTTACTGATCCACTGCACAAGCCATCTGCTCTATCTGACACCTTAAGGGTTGGAGGTCGGGAGTCCTTCCCTGGAAGTCCAGAGAAGAGTACAGCATAACATGGGTAAATGGTTTGGTAGTTAATTGCAGTAAATGAATTCAAGACTTAAGTCCCCTGGCTGATGCTTGGGAGAGAAACGGACCGCAGACTCCTTATACTTGCCATACCGTTCTACCTCTTAGAAATGGACCTGCCACTCTCATGACATAAATCAAACCCCATCCTCATTTGCTCAAAAGCCTTCAATGGCTTCCCACTGTACTTAAAACCCACCTCCTCCATGTGGCTGATAGGGCCCTCATTCTGGCCCCACCCTCCTTGCCAATTTTAACTTGCCCTCACTCTCCTCTCACTTACCAGGCCCCAGCCACACTGGCTTCTTTGACATTTTCAAACATGCCAGGCTCTTGTCTGCACTAGGCCCTTATACTTGCTTTTCCTTCTCCCTGGGCCCTCTTTCTGCTTCTGAATGGCTGACTCCAACTCATCTTTCAGATCTCAGCTCAAATAGTTCCTCCTCAGGGAGGCCTTTCTTGACCATCTTATCTAAAGTGACCCCATCTCATTCCTATTACTTGTTAACACACCAACCAGCTAATTTACTTGATAGCACTTACCATGCTCTGAAATAATCTTGTTTATTTATTAGTCTCCTTGTTTATTATCAGTCTTCTCCTTCTAAATATAAACTCCTGAGAGCAGGAGCTGGATTTATCTTGCTGTATCACAGGCACATATTACATACTCAAATATTTTGAATGAATGAGTGAATAAGAATTAGTAAAATACAGTGGCAGTGGGTCAGCAGGCACTGGGTTAAGGTAAAAAACATTAGTTCTCCCACTATGAAGCTAGAAGTTGTTGTATGACAATATTCTGTATGACATACGACATATATGTTGTATGACTTTGGGTTTTTTTCTTCATCAGAGTGTAGCCAAGTAGTGATAACATACAAAGAGAAAAGAAAGAAGAGGGAGAGCCTAAGCTCTCTGCTGACAACTTAAAAAGAAATGTCAAAAAGAGCAAAACCTTGCTGGCTCCAGCTTCCATTCAGTTTATAATGCTGTTGGTATTGAAAGCAAATTTTCTTACTTCTAACAGATCCCAAAGTTGGTTTCCTTTCTCCCCAAGTGATGCATGCAGTTCTGTACTCACTAAGCCCAGCTCTGCGATAACCCCATCAACAACTCCATTCAAGCACACTCATACCCATGGCAGCCTTAGGATATCTGACGATCTCATTCTAAACAAAACTGTACTTGATTCAAAATACCAGTGAAAAATTATTTTCTCTTTCCAAGAACCTGAACACTAAGGCAAAACATATGCAAGAAGTGGGTGCTTCCTACAACACCCCAGCTCAAGATCTGCTCCTCCTCTAAAGGGAAGTGCAACAGGGCGTAGAAACTCTCCTAAAGGTGCACGTCAAAAGCTAAGAATGATTCAATGGCACTGTTACACTTAATGCTGTCTGCTTCACTGAACTTCATCAATTAGGGCAGTTATCTTAACTATTAGTGACTGAGAGTCCCTGAACTTGGAAAAGTACAAGAAAGAAAAGACTGAAAAATGAAACCCATCACCCTCGTTTTCTGGTGGATGCTTCCCATGGCATGTAGGGCACACATGATCATGTCCTAAAAGCAACTCTACCAAATGCTGAAGGAGAAAGAGTGGTACTTACGCGGCATGATCCCTTGGCTCACCAGTTCTTCCCGCGTCCGGCGCTGCTGGAGCTTCAACTGCAGCACTGCAAGGCAGCAAAGAGAGAGGAGAGACGAAGGCTCAGTCGGGCATTCCACCACAAAAGACACATTTTCACATGCAAAGAAAGTCTCAGAACAGAAGAGTGTAGTGTGAAAGATGGATCCCCTTTAATTGTGACTGTCTGTAATTGCAGAAGTGGCCTGATACAGCAGGGTTTCCGTATTCTGCTGTGGGCGGCGAGAGGAAGTTGCGAAGGGTCTTGCAGGGCGATAACAATCCACAAAGCACCCTAGTCTGGCCTCTTGCTCAAAACCTCCTACAAGACAGTGTCCACCTCCAAACACTAAAAACACACAAATTCTTACCTCAAAGAAAATACAATGAGGACCACAACCCAGCAGAAAAAGCTTTCTGGATGTTCTACATTTTCTTCCTGGTAGCAAATGTTTACCACCGTTTAAGTATAACGAATAATACAGTTATTCACATAGATCAGGAAGTACTGGTTATTTGTGAAATCTTTTCTTTTGTATCTAAAAATTATACCAATTTTCACCAAGCACTGCATTTCTCTAAATCAGAAAATATTCTACCATTAATCTAACTCTTTTTCTTTTTCTTTCTCTTCCTCTTCACTTACAGCCTTTCTCTGTTGAGGTCAAACAAGCAGGCTAGACGACTCAAAAGCACATCCGGGCTAGGGGAGGGTGATAGGTGTTTCTCCTCTTTCCACCCTGGCAACACCACTTCATCAAACAACTTAATAGGGAATTTTTTTTTAAGTTAAAAGTCAATTATCTCTATTTCAAATGCCAGTGAAACCTAAAGGGTATTACCACTGCACACCATGCAGAACGATGATGGCAGGGCAGCCTGCACTCAGCGGCTAAGCAAGAAAATGTTCAGAGGAGGGTTAGGAAGATCGCACTGGCAAGGAAAGTCCCTTACATGCTAAGTCTTCAATTATAAAGTCCCCGCAAGTCACATCTGAGGGGGACCCAAATCTGTTAGGAATCATATTATCCTAATATCTGCCCTTTCCATTGACAGAGTAGTTTTTAAGAAGATCTCCAAGAACGGCAGAACCATAACTAGACTCCTGACTATACCTCAAATTCAGCAGGTCCAAAGCAGAATCTATCTTTCCCCTTAAAACCTAACCTACTTCCCATCCTTTTTATCTCTTTAATGGTATTCCTATCCCTCCCAGGACTAATATTAAAAATTTTGAGCCACCTTCAACTTCTCCACCTCCTCACGCTCCTCTCTTACCAAGTTTCCACACCACATTGTCCCATGTTGCAGTGACGGCTCACTGGCTGTGTCTCCGCCATTCTAAGTGACCCCACTCGAAGCTGCCCAATGACTCTTCCTCAAGTACCACGTACTTGCCCAGCTCTTTGTTCACTTCACCTGGAAATGCCTGCCCTCTTCACCTGACCTTCCTGGCTCACTCCCCAGCATTCAGAATTACTCTAGGCTTCCCTTCTGTGAGCTACCTTTTATGTTATAAAAAGTATAGTAATATTTTGCCCTTCAAGGGGTAATAGTTACCCCTTGAATATATCTTATCTCTCCTTTCAGTTTACAAACTCCTGGAGGGTAAGGAATATATTTTATTAACATATGCCCCCCATAGCACTTAAAACACAGTAGGCATTTAATAATTATTATTTTTTTTAAAGATTGGCACCTGGGCTAACAACTGTTGCCAATCTTTTTTTTTTTTTCTGCTTTATCTCCCCAAACCCGCCCTGTACACAGTTGTATATCTTAGTTGCATGTCCTTCTAGTTGTGGGATGTGGGACGCTGCCTCAACATGGCCTGACGAGCGGTGCCATGTCCGCGCCCAGGATCCGAACCCTGGGCCGCCGCAGCGGAGCGCGTGAACTTAACCGCTCAGCCACGGAGCCGGCACCTCTAATAATTATTTCTTGAATTGAAGTGCATCTAAAAATGATATTACATACAGTCTGAGAAATCCAATCAGGAAGTTTTTACTATTATTATTTTTTAAAACAAATTAACACTGTTAAAAACAAAGACTTGCAGAATGGATGAAAACAGCAACAGCTACACTAGTAGCTAACATTTATAGAACATGTGCTCTGAGCCAGACACCATCTTATGTACTCTCATGTTTTAACTCAATTAATCTTTCTAATACCCCTATGGAGACACATGGGCATTATTAATCATATTCCACAGGTAAGGAAAATGAGGCCCAGAGAGATTAAGTAATTTACCTAAGGTTATACCGCTAACAAGAGGTTAACAGGATTTGAACCCAAGCATTCTGATTCCAGCACCTGGGCTCTTACTTCTCTGCTTCTCCAGGGTCTTCAGGAGGCCTGTGCTACTGAGATAACAGGCATGGAATGTGATCACCTGGGTTCACTCTCTGGGAGACAGACAAAGGAGCTGAGGAAACTAGATGGTTCAGGCCAGGAGCTTGGGTGATCAACTTCAGTAAAATAAATTTAATTAATCTAGGAACTTGATTCCAGAATAAATTATAATCACAAATCGGCATAATAATAATAATAATAATAAAACAAATAACAGGAGTCACTGAGTGTTGCTATGATGTGTCATGCCCTAGGTTAAGTGACTGACAGGCTTTTAATTAAAAAAAAAAAAAGTCCTGTGAGGATGGTACAATTATAATCTCCATTTTACAGATGAGGAAACTAAGGATCAGAACTTTAAAATTTTGCCTTCAGTCACACAGCTCAAAAGTGCTGGAATGAGGATTCATACCCAGGTCGCTGTGACTCTAAAGTGTGGGCACTTAATACCATGTCACACATCTCCTTGATGGAAAGAAAGAGGAGGGCCAGACAGGATAAAGTAACAGGGGAAAAAAGGGCAAATATTTGTCATCTTTAATAGTGTTTCTAAGGCCCACTGTAACATGAGCTATTAGAAAATTATTAAATCTCACTAATTGGATTTCAGAGAATAGAGAAATCTAAATGCAATTCAAGAAGTCTGAACATTTCAAAGAAACAATAACTAATGAAAATTATGGCTATTACCCAAGAATAATTTTGAAATATCAATCAGCAGCCCTCCTAAATAAACCATATACAGACAGGGCCATAAGGGATATTGTGCAAATTTTTTCTTCTGTTTCTTTTTAAAGGTATGCTTTTTGGTGAGTAAGACAGGCCCTGAGCTAATATTTGTTGCCAATCTTCCTCTTTTTTTTCCCCCCTCCCCAAAGGGCCAGTACATAGTTGTATATACTAGTTGTAGGTCATTCTAGTTCTTCTATTTGGGACGCCACCGCAGCATGGCTTGATGAGCAGTGCCATGTCTGCACCCAGGATCCGAACTGGCCAACCCTGGGCCAGCGAAGCAGAGCGTGTGAACTTAACCACTCAGCCACAGAGCCAGCCCCTATGCAAACTTCTTGATTGAAAAACTTCTTGCTTCATGAAAGCAAAAATTTAAGTCTGTGATTCAAGTTTTTTATGGACAGCACAGTAAAGGCCTATTTAGCTTTTTTTTTTTTTTAACAGCTCTAGTTCAAAGAGGAAGGTTTATCTAATAAACCATTTCCATCTCTAAAACTAAATGAAATTAAAGTTCAGTTATCCAAAAATTCCATCTTGTCCCTCTCAGCAGTTAACTCCAAATATGCTTATCTGAAATCTGACCAAGTTCCCCATTCAAATAACAGAATTTACCCTGGATCAGTACTATCTTGGGTATTGTCACAATTTGATTGTAGGTATGTATTGTTTTATACATTGCATAGCCCTCTTCTGCCAACTCTAACAATGTTTATAAGGAGGAAAAAAGAAAAGACCTAAGCAATAAACTCAGAATTATAGCAGTCAACCCATACTTCATTTTATTTTGAAATTTATCTGTTTGGCTATGCACATATACAATGATCCTTCTTCTAAGACTTTCGACTACAAGCAAATGGATATTTGTATGAATTTCCCCCTTCTCTAGTCTATCTTAATTCCTCTTAACTCCAAACACTCTAAATAAAATGCCTTTATCTTTCCAGACCTTAGGAATGATTCATTTTAGAAGAAATCGTTTAGTAACTCACTTTCAGTAAATACTCTAAGAGCCATATGTTCTATATTCACTACAGAGGGTACCCAAATCAGGAGTGTATTTCAGAGGCCATACATTTAATGCACATCCACTCTCACCAAGAAATATCTGACACTAGTTCATGATTATATTCACAGAGCAGTGATAGACCAAGGAGATTCAAGAGAGTGGGAATTTGACAAAATCTCTCTATTTCATTCTACATCACCATTTAGATTTTCTCTCCACCTCCAAGTCAATAAGAACAAAAATAACCGTTTGTGTACAAGCATGAGTCTTTCTACCTTCACTGTTATTGAATTCCACAAATTTAATATATTTTAAATCTGTTTCTAATTCGGCCTGTGGGAGCAGCCTATATAGAGATGAACAGATGTCTTTAAAGCTGATGGATGGTGAATCAACCAAGTTGTCTATCAGAAAAGGATTGGAACAAAAAGAAAATAAACCGAACCACAAAGTAGAGAACCCTAGGTTCTCCACTCCCCATGGAAATAATAAAGTTTTTCACCTTGATTGTTTTTCAAACAAAGGTAATCAACTGCTATTTGAATAACTGGCTAGTATTTGGGAAATCAAAGCAAAGGAGTGACTTGCATATATTTCTGCCCTGTAAGACCACAGAAGTATGTTGACGGCATTCAAGGGATAATGCCTAAGAACTGGACACATCAAACAATTGGGTCAATCAGGACCGTTTGGACAGAAACAGACCAAAGTGGCGTGTTCTCAAGCCCAGCTCTGTGGCTTCCACCGGTCAGCAGTCATGGATTTCACCGGAAAGGGAGATGTGCAGCTTGGCAAGGTTGTTCCTACCTTATTCATATTTACCCATTATTGATCCCACAAAGGCTTCTAGAATACAGAACTAAAGTTATGAGGGAAGTAGAAAAAAACAGGAAGGGGGTTAGTATGGGAATGACAGCGAAAGAACAAAAACCCTCCCTCTGCATCATCCTTTGCTC